TCGAATAAATGAAAAATTTTTTATTCGAAGATAATTCTATGATTTCATCATAATAATGAAAAACGATATTGTTCGATAATTAACAGATGAAAATCAATAGATGAAAAATTGTTTTATTGGTTGAATTTTTAGTGACTCTTATTCGATCACCATCGGAATAACATAGACACATAAATTTAAATTATTGGAACAACCTGTACCACCACATACATAATTGGTTTGAATTAAAGTAGTTCCTATAAAATAATAGTGTTGCATCTCTAAATAGAGAAGAGAGATACCATGCTCCATTAGCTGCTGTGCTATTTACAAAATATGCATTTATTCAACATATACTAATTCTTGATGATATTGCTGCGTTTGGTTATCTAATGTTATAATAAATACATGCCCTGTAGCAATAATATATTATAATTATTTGTTGTCTTAATCACTTAGGACGCCACGTTTTGAATAATATTAACTTTCATATTTAGTTCATGATCGGAGTAGTAATTCATTCAATTAACAGGTATTGTGTGTTTTCTATACCATTGAATACTAATCGCATTATGATTGTTTTTGTCATAATGTCGCATCGAGGAAACGGGAGCGTCTCATTTCAGGCACTTTGTTTATTCCCTCGACTGTAGGGAGGGTCATATGAAAAAAAATAGTTTGTGTGTGTGTATGTGTGTGTGTGTTTGTGTGTTTGCATCAGGGTCAAAAAAACATCAGGGTCAAAAAAAACTTCCACTTTAGCAAATTTTCTATTAAGGTTGACGGAAGTAAATCGGGGTCGGGGAATCCGAATATGAAGTCAGTTTCTTAAAATTTTGAATTGAGTTTTTAGGTTCAAGAAAGGGGTTTTTTGAGAAAATAATAATATTTTATAAAGGTTGACGAAAGTAAATCGGGGTCGGGGAATCCGAATTTGAAGTCACTTTTTTAAAATTTTGAATTGAGTTTTTAGGGTCAAGCAAAGGGTTTTTTGAGAAAATAATAATATTTCCTCGAGCATGGGAAAAGTTATATGAAATACAATAAATTTTTTGTCTCTTTCAGTGAGAGAGAGATGAAATGTCATCGAAGAAACTTTGGCTAAGTGTTGGATACTCGTGCTTTTAATATTGGGCATTGCACCAATTCGAGTTTTCAGAATGAAAATTGAGTTAACCTGACGTATATGATATGTTCTCCCTTAATCAACTGTTTTATAAGTGGGTTTCGATGGGCAAGACTTGTTATTAATGATGCATTGAGGTCTACTGATGAAGACTATTGCAATGTATTTATTATTAGATCGATCTTTACAAAATGTTGTGGAAGCAAAAACTGAATTTTTAAAATTACTGGTATCTATGTGGAAGATTTCTACTTCATATTGGAAAGAATCTAAAAGAAACATGGAGTATGGAGAGACTATTACAATGTTACTTGAAACCGTTAATATACTTGTCGTCACAATTATGTTTAGTGATCGATAAAAAGACAACTATCTGTACTCATTAAGTCCATCTAAATATGATCATGAAAAGGTGACAGTAGAGGACAGCATAATGGGATAATATTTGAAGTGATCGAAACATAACATCACCAAATGATCATCATCATGAACCAAAAGACGACGAAAAATTATAGACTAAACAGTGCAAGATCTGGATAGAGTCAACGCCATGGATGAAAAAATGGAACGAAAAAATATAGACTAAACAATAGAACAGTTAGATATCGTTATTATAGATCAAAAGATTCGCCAAAAAAATGTAGACTAAACAATAATGAAATCTGATATCAATCAGATTTCATGAAGTATAAATTGGGGTGCAGTTGTTGCAGCCGGTTATTTGATCCGTTGACTCGCTACTATTACAAACCATACCTTGATGTGTGCAATACAATTATGTACAATATGTGTCTTACTGCTTGATTTTTTGATATATGCTGTATTCAACTTATTCAACTTCATCATCTCATTATTTACTAAAACTAGTTTGTCGTTAAACATATTGAAAATTATAAACAACACTGATAGACTTTAAACGACTCAAATACGCAGTTATGGTTGAGGGTATTTATAACCGATCCGTTGTGGAACCTGACCCGCTTTGGAATGTTCATAAAGTAGAATTAATATAGAATGCAAGCATGAGAAAAGAATTGCAATATTAAGCTATTCAATTCCTATATGTTATAAAAAATGAATTGGTTATCAAAAATTTTTTTTTATAATGTCAATCCATTTCATTGAAAGCACTTTTATTCGTGTTGAGATTAATTCTTTGTCGAAGTTAATAGATATGATTAGAAATTTTCTTAGATTAATCGATGGATTGGACGATTTAAAAAATAAATAGTTTCCTTCGAGTTCAAAAAATTCTAGCTGCTTTTCTTCTGTTTTCTTGGAATGTCAATAGATTTCAATAGAAACAACACCCACCCATGAAAAAAAAATTGAATAAAAACGCGTTCCGACGCAAACTTTCAGAGAAAAAACGCTGTTTTTGCGTTTAAACGCATCCTATTTTGTCTGAGACGCATCTAAACGCATCGGTTTTCGTTTAAAACGCGTTTAAATGCATTTTTTACATTTACAACGCGTTTTTCAATTTAAAATGCTACCTAAAAAGGTCGTTCGAACATGTTTTATTTTATTCGTTACGACGCGTTTATTTGTTATGCATCTTGATGCGTTTTTTTATTTCTTTGGCTGAAAAGATGATCTATTTAGA